GGGGATGCCAGGGCATGGAGGGGTGCATGGAGGGGAGTGTTGGTCGAGGGTGGGCGAGAATTCGTGGGGTGGTGGTAAGTCGCGGGGGGGGGGTCAAAAATCAGAGGTGCAAAGGGGTGTGGATTGCGGGGCATGGAGGGGAGCAAGGAGGGGGGTGTTTGTCGAGTTTGGACGAGAATTCGTGGGGGGCGGGGGTTCCCAAAACAGAGGCTCCAAGGAGTGGGGATGCCGGGGCATGGAGGGGGGCATGGACAGGGTGTTGGTCGAGTTTGGGCGAAAATTCGCGGGGTGGGGGGCCCGACAAACAGAGGCTCCAAGAGGTGGGGATGCCGGGGCATGGAGGAGGGCATGGAGGGCGGTGTTGGGTGAGTTTGGGCGAGAAATCGTGGGGTGGTGGGCCCCAAAAACAAAGGCTTCCAGCGATGGGGATGCCGGGGCATGGAGAGGGCGCGGAGGGGGGTGTTGGTCGAGTTTGGGCGAGAATTCGCGGGGTGGGGGATTCCCAAAACAGAGGCTCCAAGGGGTGGGGATGCCGGGGCATGGAGGTGGGCATGGAGGGGGGGTGTTGGTCGAGTTTGGGGGGGAATTCGCGGGGTAGGGGGCGCCCAAAACAGAGGCTCCAAGAAGTGGGGATGCCGGGGCATGGAGGGGGACATGGACGTGGGCGTTGGTCGAGTTTGGGCGAGAATTCGTTGGGTGGGGGCCCCCAAAAATAGAGCTTCCAAGGGGTGGGGATGGAGGGGGGCATGGAGGGGGGTGTTGGTCGAGTTTGTGCGAGAATTCGTGGGGTGGGGTCCCAAAAACAGAAGCTCCAAGAGATGAGGATGCCGGGGCATGGAGGGGTGCATGGAGGGGAGTGTTGGTTCGAGTTTGGGCGAGAATTCGTGGGGGTGGGGGGGGGTCCCAAAAAAGGGGACGCTCCAAGGGGCGTGATGCGGGCATGGCGAGGGGGGCATGGAGAGCGGTTTTGTTGAGTTGGGTGAGGAATTCGGGGGGCTGGGGGTCAAAAACAAACGGCCCAAGGGAAGGGGAATGCCGGGGCATGGATGGGGCATGGGAGGGGAGTGTTGGTCGAGTTTGGGCGAGAATTCGCGGGGTGGGGGGTTCCCGAAACAGAGGCTCCAAGGGGTGGGGATGCCGGGGCATGGAGGGAGGCATGGAGGAGAGTGTTGGTTGAGTTTGGGCGAGAATTCGTGGTGTGGGTGGTTCAAAAACAGAGGCTCCCAGTGGGTGTGGATGCCGGGGCATGGAGGGGGGCATGGGGGGGGGTGTTGATCGAGTTTGGGCGTGCATTCGTGGCGTGGGGGGTCCCAGAGACAGAGGCTCCAAGGGATGGGGATGCTGGGGCATGGAGGGGGGCATGGAGGGGGGTGTTGGTCGAGTTTGGGCGAGAATTTGTGGGGTGGGGTGCCAAAAACAGAGGCTGCAAGGGGTGGGGATGTCGGGGCATGGAGGGGAGCATGGAGGGGTGTGTTGGTGGAGTTTTGACGAGAATTCGTGGGGTGGGGGTGCCAAAAACAGAGATTTTTTTCCAAGGGGGGGGAGCGGGGCATGGAGAGGGGAGCATGGAGGGGGGTGTTGGTAGTGTTGGGGCGAGCATTCGTGGGGGGGGGGCCCCCAAAACAAAGCTCCAAGGGGTGGGGATGCCGGGGCATGGAGGGGGGCATGGAGAGGGTGTTGGTCGAGTTTGGGCGAGAATTCGTGGGGTGGGGGGTCCGACAAACAGAGGCTCCAAGGGGTGGGGATGCCAGGGCAGGCAGGGGGGCCTGGAGGGGGGTGTTGTTTGAGTTTGGGGGAGAATTCGTGGGGTGGGGGCCCCGAGAACAGATGCTCCAAGGGGTGGGGATGCCGGGGCATGGAGGGGGGCCTGGAGGGGGGTGTTGGTCGAGTGTGGGCGAGAATTCGTGGGGTGGGGGGTTCCAAAAACAGATGCTCGAAGGGGTGGGAATGCCGGGGCATGGAGAGGGCACGGAAGGGGGGTGTTGGTTTAGTTTGGGCGAGAATTCGTGGGGTGGGGGGTTCCCGAAACAGAGGCTCCAAGGGGTGGGGATGCCGGGGCAGGAGGGGGGCATGGAGGGGGGGTGTTGGTCGAGTTTGGGCAAGAATTCGTGGGGTGGGGCCCCCCCAAAACAGAGGCTCCAAGGGGTGGGGATGCCGGGGCATGGAGGGGGGCATGGAGGGGGGTGTTGGTCGAGTTTGGGCGAGAATTCGTGAAATGGGGGGCCGCAAAGACAGAGGCTCCAAGGGATGGAGATGCTGGGGCATGGAGGGGGGCATGGAGGGGCGCTGCGTCGATGGCGCAAAGCTGGGGCGCGGGAAGGCCTGCGTTGAGTGCGGGGTGTTGCAGCGGCGTGAATTCTTCTCACAATTCATGTCGGAAGGAGCGGCCGCTCGAAACCGCAAGCGCAAGCGCTGCGTCGATGGCGCAAAGCTGGAGCGCGGCAAGTGGAAATGTGTAGAATGTAAGGGCGCTTTCGGGAGGGACCACTACAGGAACTGGTTAGCTGGGCGATCGACGCAGAAGGCGGATGGGAAGCAGAGATGCAACGCGTGCTGTGCTGGCCAGGAGCGCAAACGGAAGGAAGTCGCCGAGCGGAGCCATGCGTCGGTAGCGAAAGTAAAGAAGGCTGGGTAGCTATCTCCGAATCCGACAAGAGCAACGACGAACGCTCGTCGTAGTCGTTCACCCAGTCGCGGACAGAGGAGAAGAGGCATGCTGCCGAAGATTGGAGATGCCGGGGCACGGAGGGGGGTGTTGGTCGATTTTGGGCGACAATTCGTGACGTGGGGGGCCCCAAAACAGAGGTGCCGAGGGGTGGGGATGCCGGGGCATGGAGGGGGTTGTTGGTCGATTTTGGGCGAGACTTCGTGGGGTGGGGGGTCCCCAAAACCGAGGCTCCAAGGGGTGGGCAAGCCGGGGCATGAAGGGGGTTGTTGGTCGGTTGTGGGCGAGAATTCGTGGGGTGGGGGGTCACACAAACAGAGGCTCCAAGGAGTGGGGATGCCAGGGCATGGAGGGGGTTGGTGGTCGATTTTAGGCGAGAATTTGTAGGGTGGGGGGGTCCCAAAAACAGAGGCTCCGAAGGTGGGGGTGCCGGGTCATGGAGGTGGGTGTTGGTCGATTTTGGGCGAGAATTCCGAGGGTGGGGGGTCCCAAAAACAGAGACTCCAAGGGGTGGTGATGCCGGGGCTAAGGGTGGTCGGTTTTTGGGCGAGAATTCGTCGGGTGCGTGGTTTCAAAAACAGAGGCTCCAAGGGGTGGGGATGCCGGGGCATGGAGGGGGGAGTTGGTAGGTTTTGGGCGAGAGTTCGCGGGGTGGGGGGATCGAAAAACAGAGGGTCCGAGGGGTGGGGTTGCCGGGGCATCGAGGTGGGTGTAGGTCGATTTGGGGGGCGAATTCGTGGGGTGCGGGGTCTCAAAAGCAGAGGTTCCCAGGGGTGGGGATGCCGGGGCGTGGAGGGGGGTGTTGGTCTATGTTCGGGTGAGAATTCGTGGGGTGGGGTGTCCCAAAAGCAAAGCCACCAAGGGGTGGGGATGCGGGGACATAGGGTGGGGTGCTGGTCGAGTTTGGGCGAGAGTTCGTGAGGTGGGGGGTCGCAAAAACAAAGGCTCCAAGGGGCGAGGATGCCGGGGCATGGAGGGGGGTGTTGGTCGATTGTGGGCGAGAATTCATGGGGTGGGGGGTCCCAAAGACACCGGCTCCAAGGGGTGGGAGGGGGGTGTTGGTCGTGTTTGGGTGAGAATTCGTGCGGTGGGGGGTCCCAAAAACAGAGGCTCCAAGGGGTGGGGATGCCGGGCATGGAGGGGGGCATGGAGGAGGGTGTTGGTCGAGTTTGGGCGAGAATCGTGTGGGGTGTGGGGGTTCCAAAAACAGACGGCTCCAAGGGGTGGGGATGCCGGGGGGGGCATAGAGGGGGGCATGGAGGGGGAGGTTGACGAGTTTGGCGAGAATTTCGTGAAGGGGGGGGGGTCCACAAAACAAGAGGCTCCAAGGTCGTGGGGATGCCGGGGCATGGAGGGGGACATGGAGGGGGGTGTTGGTCGAGTTTGGGCGAGAATTCATGGGGTGGGGAGTCCGAAAAATAGAGCCTCCAAGGGGTGGGGATGCCGGGGCATGGAGGGGGGCATGGAGGGGGGTGTTGGTCGAGTTTGGGCGAGAATTCGTGAAATTGGGGGTCGCAAAGACAGAGGCTCCAAGGGATGGAGATGCCGGGGCATGGAGGAGGGCATGGAGGGGGTGTTGGTGGAGTTTGGGCGAGAATTCGTGGGGTCGGTGGGGGGCCCCAAAAATAGAGCCTCCAAAGGGCGTGGGGATGCCGGAGGGGCTGGAGGGGGCATGGAGGGGGGCGTTGGTCGAGTTAGGTGGGGGGTCCCAAAAACAGAGGCTCCAAGGGGTGGGGATTCCGTGGCATGGAGGGGGGCATGGAGGGGGGTGTTGGTCAAGTTTGTGCGAGAATTCGCGGGGTGGGGCCCCACAAACAGAGGCTCCAAGAGATGGGGATGCCAGGGCATGGAGGGGTGCATGGAGGGGAGTGTTGGTCGAGGGTGGGCGAGAATTCGTGGGGTGGGGGGCCCCAAAAACAGAGGCTCCAAGGGGTGTGAATGCCGGGGCATGGAGGGGAGCATGGAGGGGGGTGTTGGTCGAGTTTGGGCGAGAATTCGCGGTGTGGGGGGCTCCCAAAACAGAG